ATATCAAAAGGTAAATACATACAAAGTTGACCTTTCAGTGATTATCCATATTTGACATATTAAAAAAAACCCAAAACATTGACATTTACAGATTGCAGATATGCAAAAAATACATTTATTCTCTACCTAATTAATAATTATAAAAAATAAAAATTCTGCTTCAGTCAGTCACGTTCTCTTATCAGACATGCATGCATACAACATTGACTACATAGGATGCCAATGCATACTTATGTTTAAAGTGCCTAAAATAGTGTTGACATTTAGGCAGGACAAAAGCAGGGGTGGTTGGTTGGTTTGTAGTGGGTTTGGGGGTTTCGTTTTTCGTTTTGAAGTTACCAGGCAAAGTACTCTCATGTCTAATTTAGCATCAAACCAGCAGAATATACTAGACCAGGTTTTACTTAAGTGGCTACCATTGCCAAACACATACATACATAAGGCCATTGTCTCTTTTACTAAACATTCCACAGAGGAAGTGAAGAGTAATTGCAATAATGGATAGGAAATTTAAAAAAAAAAAAAAAAAAATCAGGCTGAACTCAACAGGTTCTAAGGGAACATCCTCATGACATCCAATTTTATGCCAGATTTAGAAGATTAGGAGATTAAAGTTTTGCTGGCAAGAATAAAAAAGAAGTAACATCAGGGCAACTAAAGATTAGTACATCTAATACTGTTAGAAGTTTAACATCTGAAGTCATATGGATTAGCAATATCAGGAACTAGACTGAGGCAGTTCACCACTAGCATATACAAGTAATGCCAGTACAATTGCAGTGACTTTTTTTTTTTAATCTTTCTTAACAGTTTCTTCTTCCAGCAACATATAAAATTTACACTAAAATTAAGCTACCCATATAAAGGAAAGTTTTTTCAGATTATTCATCTAGAAATCAGAACAGTAATTAATACAACTTTTCAGATACATTCCACAGTTGGTAGTTCAAATGGAATTTATGTCAAACAAATCTGAAAGCATTGTGGTGTTTGGTTGGACTAAGGCAATTTAACACCACTCCAAGGGACAGTCATTTAGCATCACAAACAATGCTTTGGGCAAAATAACCTCACTGAGTATTCAGTTCTGGACATATGTTTATAATACAAGTATTTCTGATAAAGTGCATTGTACAGAGTTCCAGGTTTTGGGTTGTTGGGGTTTTTTTGTTTTGTTTTTAAATTTAGACAGGAATAAATTTAGGTAACTGGAAGATGCATAGAAGAAATATAAGGCTAGAATATTTGATCTGCTTTTTCACCCTTGAACATCTTGTCTGATTAAAACATTACTTCCACCAACTTCAGTTTTCTCATGATCTGTCAATGAAGTCCAGCTTAAGCCATGCGAACCTTAATGACTGCACTAGCATGTGAAAACAAGGCAGTTGTCAGCCTGAGTTTAAAACAGAGTCCTTTATTTGCCCTACTTTCTACTCCTTTAAGAAAACTCACTCTTTTCTCACTAATGTACAGTTAAGGAGCTCTGTTTAGTCCGCACAGCTTCTTATGAGCCAATACACAAAACTGTACTGCCCTCCTGCTAAAAAAAGAAAACCACCACATAAAAGTTATCAGAAGCAAGTGAATGCAACAGAGATTATTTCAGAGAATGCAAAGTTTCAGCATCCCTCACTACGAAGTAAATCACTAACAAAGTTGAACAAGCTACGTTCAGCAAGACCAGACGCTTAACAAAAAATTAGCTGAAATTATGTGATTACTGCTACATACTACGCTACCCAGTAAAAACACATCTAACCAGTTTCAGTCCTTGATGTGGCTTAAGTCAATCCTTCGATTGTTTGACTTCAGGTACCATTCTGGCAATCCTCCTGCCTGAGGAATATTTAGAGACTTAATTCTTGCTTATTTCAGTGGTGCCACAAAGATAGCACGATTCCTCCCTCATCCTCTATTGTAAAGCATTTTCTTTTTATTTGCTCGGTTTCTATATTTTTTCCAGTTAAAAAAATTACACAAGTATTCCTGAAACACAAAAGCAGGCTGCTCCTATTATTAAAAGATAGCTTAGTATGTGAAGGAAGACCATTAAGAATACTCAACAAATACAATTATTCCTGCACATTTATCATTTAACTGGAGAAAAAATTACTTTGAGATGTATGGGGGAGTATTCCTTCCTCTACAGGCAATGTTCTGCTCACCAGATCGTCCAACACCATAGGCAATCACAGGATTGAAAGATTCAAAAGGCAAGTTTACAAACTTATTGTGGTTGCTGCTTCTACTGTCAAGCTGGACAGACCAGAGCTGCTGTAGCTAACCTATCACTAGGCTCAGTACTGTTAACAAGTGGGCCAGTGAAGGTTGGGGACTCCTGTGATATGCGTATATAGTACACTTCAAACATCGCCAAGGCATGCAGATTGCCATACAATTAGGTTTAATACCGAACAATACTGTGCATTCTGTAACAAAGACATTGCTATTACTTTTTGTTTCTCTTTTGCTGTAAAAAGCTGCAGTGGTTTACCTGTATTACGGATTTGGAACCTTTGCACATACAATTTAGCTCTTTATAGTGTACTGCCATTTTGTTTCTACGCTTATCTCTCACTATCCATAGACGTGAAAAATGATTACAGCACTCGTCCCTAATGCTTTCTTAAAGGAAAGAAAATCAAAATGAGGAGTGGTGAATAATATTTCCTTGGTTTTTTCTCCTTCCTCAAAAGTTTCTGAAGTTTTTGATTAAAAACCACTGAGTCTAAGTTTGTTAGCATTAGTTCATTTTGTTATCAATCTGAAATCAGCTGTAACATGTTAGAGACTGGCTATCCTGATCATTTTGAAAAATAGTGCCACATACACATGCATAATTCAACAAGCCCACAGTGACATGCAGTGACAGCTCAAGGAGGTTATGGTGGGGAAGGAAGTAAAAAGTGCTTTTCTGGCAACACTGGTGGGTGTGGGGACAAGTGGTCTGCTGCATGCATGCTAAATATGGTGGAACATTTAGATACCCTACCTGAGGGGTGATCCGATGAGCAATGTAGGAGGGGTAGGGTTACTCCCTGCATTGTGCCGGCGTCGTACTGCCTGACGCCTAAATGTGCTGCGTTCACGACGAAATGTGACAGTCTCCTCGCTGGCTTGTGCTGCTGCATCAAGACAGACTTTAGGTCAAATAAGAACCCATCCTAGTTATGTACACAGTAACTTAAGCCTCCTTTCTTCCCCCTGACCCTCCCCAAGTTAATGAACTTGACTTGCGACAACAACAGTAACTTACGCACTGACTGTTCAAATAACCTGCCTCAAGACAGGATCACAACACACAATTATTAGCAAAAATTTGGGTGGTTGGGGGTGTGTGTGTGTGTTCTTGAATGTATGGCTTTTTTTTTTTTTTGACCTCCAGATCCAAATAGCCAGGTTGCAAAAAAAGTTGAATATCCCAAATCTCTTCCATTTACAGAGGGCAGGAAGAGAAGACTGATCTCATCCTTGATCTTATTTAATAGATAATTAAGGGAGAAACCTAAAGGACAGCCTAGAAAGGTTGTCTGCCACTCCTCATCATGACAGTCTCCTCTCAATGTTATGATTTGTGCCAAACAGGTAGGGTTGAGGTTAACCTCATCACACCTCCTCAGGGGGCAAAACAGAGTTGTTTTCTTCTTTTTCCACATAAGTACCAAGGGATACCCGTTGCTCATTTTAGACTAGTTACACTATGATTTGGAGGAGCAGGGGGTTGAGATTAAGTGAGACAATAACTTCTTTGTGAGGATTGGTGGTTTTGTTATTTCAACTCCCCAAACAAAAAACAAACAAACGAGGTTTAGCCCACTTACAAAACAACACCGTAAAAAACAGTTTGTATGTACTCAAGGGAGTCTAAGATTTTTCCACAGATTACCCCCCCAAAATCCACCTGTGCTCCCTAAACTTCACAATCTGAACAACTTTGGACTTGGACTGCTTCATGGTGTGTCTACAATCTCAAAATCTTCCTCCTGAACCAAGGAAGCTACTAACCAATGTGAATGCAGAGCACTGGACAGCTCAAATGAATGGGTCAGAGAAAATAGGTTTTGGCAGGCAAGTGAAGTAGGAGGAAAAAAAAACTTGACATGAAGTCAGTGCAAGAGGAGATTCACAATTTTGAATGAGAAGTCACAAACTTGGTAGCCGAGAAGCCTGTTACTAGAGTGAGAAAACCAATGATTGTGTCAAGCCAAAATAAAAAAAAAAGAAATAACACTAAGGGAGTAATGCTTTTTTTATGGCAGAGAGGTCACAGGCAGAGTAGTCCATATTCAGTTAAGCACATTTCAAGTTACAACATTCCTGTCATTAAGCTTTCAAAACTTACCAGCAAAGACTCTAATGCTGGTCTACAGGGAATAGCAACCTACTATTGCTGCGTATTACTGCCATAGCTCAAGCAATAAAGACTACATGGAACAAGAGCCTGAACCACAGGTTATCAGGTAAATATATGAAACTTCAATCTGTAGTTTGCTTTAAAAGCTAAGAAGCTACATGGAGAGATATACTTTAAGGCTAACATTAATGTTACAAGCATTTCAATACCAAAACATCAAAAGTTAAGGATATTCTTAATTCAGTCCTTTCCTGTATTTTCAAGAAAACCTGTGAGACAGCTCACTTCCTCCTCACTCCTCCACGACTTTTTTTGTTATTCTAAGCATGAATAGATAACACTTCAGCATATTTCAGCAAGAATTCAATATATTTGCCTTGTGCTTTAATATATAGCTTTATGCTTTACTTTAATACACAGCCTAATGTCTTCAAGGATTTCTTTATAGCTCTTATACTTGAGGTACTGGGAAAGCAAAACACACAGTGAACAGATAGTATGAATCCTGAATTTTTTCTGGTGGATTAAGTTACCACACAAGAGGTCAAAACTGCCCACTAATTTTGAGTGCCAATTTGTAAAGCTCAATTCTTCCAGTGTTATACATCAACAGATAAAAACTCCTATTGACAACGCAGCTTCCACTGACTTCAGATGCAAAAGCAATTCCACACAGTGGAATTGCTGCTAATCAGGCCACAGTTAAGAACCACAAAATAAAGAACAGTGACTAGTCTTAACTGAAATGTAAACATCTTAATTACCATTAAGATGGTAAACATCAGCATTACATCTTAATTACCATTTGCAACTACTTAGCAAAAGCAGCATTCAAGTGCAATTCTTCAAGGCAGCATACTTAACACTGACAACATCTGCTTTTCTTTTCATATCCTTTATTCAGTAAACATCACCTTCTGCAGTAACTGAAGCCCAGATTATGGAAACACTAGAGGTCCTTCCTACACAGCTCCAATTTACCACTAAAGCAAGTCTACCTCAGGCACTGACTGAGGCAGTGTCCTGTGAGGAAAAGAGAGAGATATAAACATGTTTTAAGATAAAATTTTAAAAAAAATCAAAATTCATAAGTACTTGGGGATTAAATTCAAAGCTGCACATGCAAATAGTTCTGGCGTTTGCTAACCTTTATATTATTTCACTTTAATCTTCAAAAATCAAAGTAGATTTTGGTCTGGCCTTCTATCTAATCTTTCAAGATAAATCAAAAATCTCTTGCTACTTTTGTTCAATACACATCTTCTATATACACTCTTCCTGAACATAGGTGGTGACATTCATAAGCAAGTCTCTAAAGTTCTTTAGAAAAGACTGCAGAGCTTTTCAGCACAAGCTCTGAGGCTGCTAACATTAAGCAACACTTCAAGACACTACATGTTAAAATCATGACCAAGTAAAAAAAAGACAAAAAACCCCAAACCAAACAACCAATAACCAACTGGTTAAACAGAAAGGATTACAGCTTTTTTAAAGTGTGGAAAGCCAAACTGAGTAAAGTTTGGTTTTGGTTGTGTGTTGTTGTTGTTGTGTGGTTTGGTTTTTCTTTGGGGGTTTTTTTGTTGTTTTTTGTGTTTGTTTTTTTTTAAAAACCCCTCATTTACAGAACACACAGGATTAAAAAAAAATATACCAGTATGGAAAACTATTTATGTTAATACATATTATTTGTGTTTCTACTTGTCTTTAATGAGAAGGCACAGTACAGCTGCTCATGAGTTCACCAGTAGGATGTAAGATAAAGCTCCTAAATTATCTTCTATCATGCCCTGAGAGCAGTTTAATCATGAGGGAAATAGCTTTGTTTAACAGAAATAAGCTTCCTTTAATAATTACAAAGTAACATACTGTTTTGATGTTTAAAACCAAAACTAAACAAGTAGAAGTATCACTGTAGGACAGCTTTTTTTTTCTTCCTTTTAAAAATATATCTTTAGACCACACTCACACTTCTCCAATGCTGCTACTTAGAACCACTTATTGTGGACTCCAGAAAGGCAAGATCCAACATCTACACTCATGTACAAAATCTGCATCTAACAGGGAGAGATAACATAGGTTATATTTTTACAGTTCCTGCTTACTTTAAGTAAATCAGTAGAGCAAGACAAGCCTTTCAGCTTACAGAGTGTTTGTTGAAGTCTGTTCTATTTTTGTTTTATTCTAAACTTATATGTTGAACCACTACACTTCATTAGTATCAAGAAATTTAAATATGAATTTCTCCTGCATGTTGTCACATGAATTTGAGCCCCCAACATTATCTGTTCTCAAGAAGAGATAAATCAGGTTTGAAGTTCAAAGTGCACAAGTTAGAAATACAAACCTACATCCCAGAGATCAATGAAATAAGAGGTGGACCCCTAATGACAACTTTGTAGCAATCTTAACCCTCCCACACCTATTTCCAACCATAATACATTTAATTTCAAAGAGGACATATTTTGACTGTTGTATTTGTTAATGCAACTCTGCATGTGAACACATTTATTAAAATTCATCTTTTTTTTTTTCTTTCATTATACTTCTGATTGGAAAAAAGCCAAATTACCAGTTACACACTTAGAAAGTCATGACATATTTGGAATGATACTTTCCCAATAAAATAAAAATTATTGCAGAGAAAATTCTAGAACAGCAAATAATTCACATCCCTTTGCCAAACAGCTAGGAATATCTGAACATAGGTTGAACTATCCTGCCTGCAGGTTATGCCTTTCCAAAATTTCTCTTTCTGTACTACACAAGTGGTTGTGATGTAAACCTCTGTAGTTCCTCAAAGTTTTACACTACAGCTATGCAATTGTTGTACAACTAGGTTTAAGAAGCAAAATGCAAATATTTTCGTTCGAACAGGAACAATTACATATACAAGCCAAAACATTTACAACATCACCCTGCATGTACGTACCACTGCTTCTAACTCAAACTTAGAAGATGGAAACTGAAGGAGCATGAGATGAAAAAGCAGAATTTCCAAATTTTATTGCATCAACAAGTGTCATTTCATTTTTGCTAGGCAAAAACCACTAAACCCAGTGCCTCAGATAAATTCTTCCCAAGTAAGAAGATTCTTGAAAAGATATGGTATGGAGGTAATACAGAGGTAAACCATCCACGGGGAAAACCACAGAGTTCTCAGGATAAAACTTGCAAACTTCAGTCTGAGTGGAAAGAAAACAAAAAGCCCACACACAACAGAAACACAGTGCCCCTCACTCTTGTAAGGAAAGAAAAAGAAACAACCCAACAACCATCACGAAGTCTAGATGGTTTTGAATATTAGTCAGGCTAAGCATGGTTAAATGTGTGCACGGAACCTGACTGGTGTCTGGACATGCCGTTTCTCTCCCTATCAAATGGGAAATTGTCATCTAACTATAATGACAAACCCTACAGTGAGAGCTGAAATGAATAGGTTACAGCTCATGCATTCACATCAGCAATGAAATCTGTCTTTTAACATTGAACATACTTTGCCAAATCAAATAGCTAAAATTTAGCTTTTCTGTATGGAGTATCTATATCTCGTTTGTGTTCAAAACCTGAGAAAAGCCATACTTCTCACATGCATTCATGGATTAACACCACCACGTTCCTCGCAGCTGAGGCATTTGTAGTTTGTTCTCTTGTGCCCTAAGACTATTTTAAAAACCATACTTGTAAGATACCCAAGTAGAAAGGAGTCCGTTCAGTCCATATCTTCAGTATACAGTTATTAACCACCATGGATTATGCACCATTAAAAGACCT